CACTTTCATCTGCCATCAAAGGGAAAGAATATACACCCAAAATAATTTAAGCATTTTACACTTATGTTTAGTCACAGTGTCGCCTGACAACCCTATTTCAATGTGCATTCATTTGAAGGATATAGCGATTAAAATCAAAAAGGTTTCTAAGAAAGCCATCTTTTTTCCAGCTGGTGATGAGCAGCCTTCCCCCTCCTTAACATTTATAGCTTGGAGGAAAGACCAGACAGGGGGGATAGGATAGAAACATTTAAATATTTAAAGGGTATCAACACAGTAAAGGAGGAGACTATATTTAAAAGAAGAAAAACTACCACAACAAGAGGACATAGTCTTAAATTAGAGGGACAAAGGTTTAAAAATAATATCAGGAAGTATTACTTTACTGAGAGGGTAGTGGATGCATGGAATAGCCTTCCAGCTGAAGTGGTAGAGGTTAACACAATAAAGGACTTTAAGCATGCGTGGGATAGGCATAAGGCTATCCTAACTATAAGATAAGGCTAAGGACTAATGAAAGTTTTTAGAAAATTGGGCAGACTAGATGGGCCAAATGGGTCTTATCTGCCGTCACATTCTATGTTTCTTTATAAAAGGTTACAAATACATAGCATTCATTTTATTCCTCAGTGGGACTACTCCATACCTCAATGTGCAAGGTTATGTAGACTAACAGAATATAGTATAGCCAATAACAGATGAAATTTCACTCCTGCTTCCTGTTGGCTATACAGATTTTAAACACATAGACAATGAAGGTTATTCGCAGAAGAGTTTATTCACTAAATAGATCACATTGTATCAAGTTTAATTCCAAAGTGCAATATTTAGGCTAAATAGATCATTTGTGACTATAGCAGAGTTGAACGATTCTTCCGTACTAGGTATTTCTGCCTACATTTTGCAATTTGTTTTTCAATTTAAAACAATGTGTTTATTGAAAACTCCTAAAATTACAATGGTCACAAATTAAAGGATCACTATAGGGTCAGGAACACAAACATGTATTCCTGAACCGATAGGGTTAAAACCACCATCTAGCCACCCTGGGCCCCTCATGCCTCCCTAAAAATAGTAAAATCTTACTTTCATTCAAGTCTGAAGCTGTAACTCTGCATGCTGTGTGCCTCAAAAACTCTGAATCTCTATGAGGAAAGTTCAGTGTCTGCATGCAAAGGGAGGAGACACTGAATGTTTGGATGCATTTTAGGCAGCCATGACCCAGGAAGGATCAACAGCCATCTGAGGAGTGGCCAGTGAAGTTAAGTGCACGTGAATTGCCCTGGGGGCACCACTGAACCATAGTTAACCTTTTAAACAATATCTGTATAAATAGAATATACATATAGATAGTAATTGCCATTAAAAACACTACTAAAAGGATCACTATAGTGTCAGGAAAACAAAGCCGTTTTCCTGACACTATAGTGGCCCAAGGGCGCCCCCACCCTCAGGGTCCCCCTAACGTGTTAAAACCCCTTCAGCAGCTTACCTTATTCCAGCACCAGGCTTCCTCGGCCCTGGTGACCTCTCCTCTCCGTCCGACATCAGTGGAGCCGAATGTGCATGCGCGGCAAATGCCGCGCACACATTCAAAGTGTCCATAGGAAAGCATTTCTCAGTTCTTTCCTATGGACGCTCTGCGCGATGGATGCGAAATTCGCATCCAGCGTTGCAGATGCGCCTCTAGTGGCTGTCTGGAAAAAAAAAAAATTAACCCGAAAATTTCAGAGAAATCTGAAGGGTTAAAACCTGAGGGACCTGGCACCCAGACCACTTCATTGAGCTGAAGTGGTCCGGGTGACTTTAGTGTCCCTTTAATGGTGGATTGCTGGACTGTGATGCAAAACATTTCTGCATTTCATTAGATGTATTGTTTCTAAAGTGTACTTCCATAAAACCATATTTAACTTATATCAACCAACCCTCCACTCAAATATATTTTTATTCAAAACAATGTAGATTATTAATGGGATATTCTAAGTACTATTACCACTATAGCCCACTGACTCCCTAATGTCCACACTCGATTATGTGTTGGTATGCCAACGGCAAAGTATGCACTTGTATTTTAACATAGCTGTGCAGACCACAAAGATCACAGGTGTCTGACAGAGAAAAGTTAATGTCAAACTATTTGTACACATTTTGACAGCTTGCCTTGGGTTAGTGAGCTTTAATGGTTATGGTGCTTAGAGTATTAATTTAATAATAATTAGCAGAAGTGTGCAAAGATGTGTTTTGGCTGGTTTGTCCGAATCAAATTCCTTTTAATCCACGCCAAACTAATTGATCCATCTTGGATTTACCTGTAGTCTTTTTCAACTAATAAGATAATGCAGCTATATCCAGGGAGAATTGTTTTTTTTTTAGTTCTGGATTAAATGGAATTTGATGCGAATGAACCAACCAAAACAAAAAGTCTATTAATCAGTATTACAGCACAAGCACATTGGTGTGTGGAACTAGAGGCCAATATTACGACAGGTGCATATAATAAACTAAATAATTTTGCTGACAGGTGAGGTGGAAGCTGCCTGGTTTACAGGTAAGGTGGGGGAGGCCAGCTGTTTGCTTTCAGGTAAAGTGGGGAGAGCGATCTGCTCACGGGTGGGGTGCGGTGAGGCCAGCGGCTTGCTCTCAGTGGGGGGAGGCTGGCTGGCTGTCTGCAGACAGGTGAGGTGGGGGGAGGCTGCCTGCCTGCGGACAGGTGAGATGGGGGGGAGGCTGCCTGCCTGCGGACAGGTGAGGTGGGGGAGGAGGCTGGCTGCCTGCAGACAGGTGAGGTGGGGGGGAGGCTGCCTGCCTGCGGACAGGTGAGGTGGCAGACTGCCAGCTGGTAGGAGGGGGCCCCGCGCTCACCCCTTTAATCCCCTGACTCCCGGTGTGCAGGTTCCCCTCTGTGTCCCTCAGGTGTCAGGAGGCCGTTGTTACCTGTGCGTTGACCGTTCATGGATTCTCCTCCTTCGTGTGTTTCCCGGTGCCCGGCTACCATTTGCTGTGTATCCGCCATAGCTGCGGTGACGTCATCCAGGAGTAACAGGAACAGCGGCGGCGGCCCCTCCCAGGGTCTCCCCAGTCACTGCCTTGCCGGACAGGTGAGCTCCGACTCGAGTAGGGAATGCGTGTAACGTGCTGCCACCTGCCGGTGAGCGAAAGGTAGTGTTCTCCAATAGCAAATTCTGCTAGGAAGGAATGAGGTTGAAATGGATTTTCATTACGCTATACATCGAATCTAAAGAGAAATGGAAAACAGTAGAGGGGGTTAAGGTGCTCAGCGTCAGGATCAGTGCTGCAGTTTCTCTAATATCTACCGAGAGGATGAGAATTTTTTTTTTTAAATTCCAAATTTTTGTAAATGTTCTAAATTTCTTGGGTGTCAGTGATGACTGTTCCATTTTTAAACAGAATTCTTTCAGCACACATTGTCATTGCATGCGGCCATCAAATCCTAAAGACCAGGTGCGCAATGCGTAGTGTCCTGACTTCTACCGCTGTATGCAGGTAGTGAAAATGCACTCAACCCTTCGACCTGGACTCCTGGGTGCTCAAATGGATCAGTCCCAGTACCAAAAGGACCCAAATGTAAAGTTTGAATGTAGAAAGTAATCCAGGCACTCCAAAATGTTCCAAAAGATAGGCAATTTTATTGGACCCAAGAACCAAAAAACAACGTTTCAACCCCTTAGGGCCTTTGTCAAGCTTGAAGACTTAACAAAGGCCCTAAGGGGTCGAAACGTTGTTTTTTGGTTCTTGGGTCCAATAAAATTGCCTATCTTTTGGAACATTTTGGAGTGCCTGGATTACTTTCTACATTCTGACTTCTACGGCTGTGATTGGCTAATATTATTAGAGTTATTTCTGTTTCCCAAGCACATGAAGCTGTAGGTATATGGTGTTGAACATGGCATATTATCTCTTTATACCGTCGGTTGAGAACATGGGTTACATAGGTAGATGTGACACCTGAATAAGATTTTGTACATTTGGTTTTGGGCTATCACACATACGGATCCCCTACTGTCTGCTTTCCATGTGCCCTCCCAGGAGTCCCACTCCCAGATCATGCCCCTACAGGGCCGTATATAGTTATGGTGCCCAAGTTGTAGAGATGGAGCAATTATAACTATCCACTATGGAGATAAGGCTTATTCTGATAGCTCCACAGAAGGTCCACTGAGAGCCTGTTGCTTTTTTAACTATAGCTTTTTATGCCAAATCTTATACTTGTATATATCTGAAGTAATCTTTACTGTTCAATGGGGGGCATTCTTTGTAGGTCGTAAAAGGAAACCACAGAGTCATTCCAAGGAAGTAAATACCGCTTTGAATAGCAGACTCCTCCAGATTAAAAAAAATTCTGGGACGTATGTTTGAAGGAAAATCTTTATTATGAAGGACCAAGTTGAGGAGCGAAGGACTGGTGGAGCATGCCACATCACTACATATGTGAGAGAAAAAATAAATCCAAATAGTGGAAATACAATTATTTTATTTTTTCAAAAGCTTTATTGAAGCAGCAATAGTTATATGTATTTGCATAACATAAAACAATATTACACAGGATATCAATTCTAATTCAATGACTTATGTTGTAACACATATTCAATAATAAATAAGGAATAAATAAAAAACAAGTGTAGTTTTCCCATTTCTTTTTTTTTTTACCTTTTGTATTTGCGTAGGTAGATACTGCCCATGTAGGTTAAAGGTAAGGATAACGGGAGGGATTGAAGTAATTAAAAGAAGAAAGGTGCGTCAAGAGAGAAGAAAATGTGAGGTGTCATGAATGAATGGGCGAGAGGAGAATAAAAAAGTAGGGGAAAGGAGGCAAACCACTGGCTCATGTGCATCTGTGGGGAATACGGACAACTATTACTTAGCTAACTGCTCATGACTGGTTCACCCTTGAGGACAACCATTGCGTCCAGTAAAACCACACAGCATTGCGTCTCTGCAAAGTGCCTCTGGCGGCAGCAATAAGTATCTCTATAGATCGTATGTTCTCTACTCTGGCAATCAATTCTCTGATTGTGGACATAGAACTCTGCCTCCAGAGTCTCAGCATATCAGGACCTCGCTCCCACACTCACTTACCTCACGCTCCCACGCCGCGTCTCTCTCTCACTCTACAAAGACGCTGTATTGGAGTGCGACTCCCCAGGCAGCGCAGTCAGTTCAATCATCCATGCCGCCTGCTCACGTCCATGTGAACAGCACTTCTGTTTGCACAAACGCCACTTACCCGATGCAGAAAGAAGAACTCCATGCATATGAGCGCCACCTCTGTTCATGCGAACGCTACTCACCTATACTGCAGACAGAACTCTGTTTGTACGGACGCCGGCTCAAAAACACAGCAAGAACAGAAGTCTGTTCATGAGAATACCGCTGCTTCCACGTGCGACCACACAGAAAGTAGAATCAAAGGGTGCGCGTGCCGACACTGAGCCTTTTAAAGGTAAAGGAGGTGGAGACCAGGGTGGAACCTCAATTAACAAGACCACCCACTTCCCCTATTTAAGTCGCACACACCCTTAACTCTTCGTTCAGTTGTACTGTGCTTCTGATTGTGTAAAGACCTTCAGAGACTCTCCTGTTGTATCCTGATACTGATTTTGACCCTTGCCCGTATCATCGCTTCTGAACCTGTGCTGCCTGTCCTGACCTTTGGCTTCCCCTACTATTTTCTTTGTCTGTTTTTCTTGGTCCTGCGAACTTGGTTCATTACCTGTAGCCTCTATCTGCATTTTGGGCTCTGTCCGCTAAACTGTGTTCCCGACACAGCATGAGACTGCGGGTGGCATTGACCAAAAACTTGATTACTGCCCTGTGGTAAGATGCAAAATACAGTTCAGGTGTTAAAGAGACAGTCATCTGTAAGAGTGGATATAACCGTGTGTACCTGTTGCCAAAAAGGGCGCTTCTGAGAATATTTCCATTATAAGAGAATCTTTGTGAGAGGTTTAAAACCAGATTCCTGAAACATGGTGCTAATGGATATTTTGTATGCTATCGTAAATATATCAGACTATTCTTAAAGGGTGAATGGGTGTTTTAGCTTGGGAATCTTTTGTGTAGTATGGAAGAAGGATGTCTTGAAAGGGTGAGATTTGGTCTGCATAAAGACGTGTGTGTAGGGAGGGGGTGGCTGCAGGCACAATAACTCAAAGTTATTCAGGGACCAGAATGATGTCGGCAGGTCAGATAAGTTGGTGGAAGATAAAATGCATCAACAGAGAGGGGGATAAACTTGCGTTAAGGTTGTCATTAGTGCTACATCTATCAAATATACATCCTTGAGGCGAAGAGGGTAAGGGAGACATAGCGAGGCCACAAAAGGCCTAGTATGGGCTGGAGGTAACTGGGGGTTCCAGGTAATATGCAAGAGAGGTGACAATAGTGGGAAATTGCCAGCTACCCCATTACTCTCCTCCACACCGCCATGGTGGCTGGTATCACTGGATGGTGTTTCAGGAGTTTAGAATAGATACCCAGCTGCAACCATGGAAGAGTCGCTAAGGGTATCAGAGAACTGATTTTCAAGGTGCATCAACAGCTTATTGGGCAGTGCAATGTTTGAATGTAATATCTGTTGTATATGAATGGCTTTATGATAGGTGGTCAGGTCCTATAGTCCCAACCCTACTCTGTTTTTGGGTCTTATGAGTATGTCCTATATCAGGTGAGCTTTGCCATACATAATCTAGGAATGTTCGGCGTATTTGTTTAAATCATGGGAATGTGAACTGGAAGCGTTTGAAGCAGATCTAGAGCCTTGAGAGGACATTCATCTATTCTGCCAAACCATGTAAAATGTGGGAGAGATCAGTTCCGTAGGTCTTGTCCAATTCGGGCCAGGAGAGTAAGGAAACTCAGTGAGAATGTCTGGGAGAGATCTGCAGATAGTGCCCAGATATTTCATTACTTCACCGCACCATTGGAAATGTTTGGTGGCCACTTTTTAGGGTGGACATTAACTTCCCTTTACATGTTAGATTATGGATTTCTAACTTTGTTAAATGTATTTTCAAGTTAGAAAGGAATCCAAAAGTTATGAATTCCTCCATTATGAATGGAAGGGATTTTGTGGGGTCTAAAATGGAAAAAAAGTAGGTCATCAGCATACGCCATCACCCAACCTCCTCCCGTCTCATCCCCAGCCCCATGATATTCGGATTACTTCATATCGTTACAGGAGGGGAGACAGGGACATACCTTTAAAGTGCCATTTTTTAATGGTAAACGGTTTAGATAATGCGTTATTTACACAGACTCACATGGAGGGAATAGAGTACAATGCAGAAATCCAGGTGAGCATATTGGGGCCCAAGCCAATCTGTTGTAACACTGTAAAAAGAAAGGACCAATCAACCCTGTTAAATGCTTCTCCGCATCTGTCGAAATGAGAAGTGATGGACTGTGTGCCTGAGAGGCGGAGTAAATCAGATGAAGCAATCTGGTAGTATTATCACGAATCTCCCTACACCAAAGCCCACTTGGCCTAGGTGTATGAGCCAGGCTGTTATTGCTGCAAGCAGAGTGCTAGAATCTTTTCAGATCAGTTTTCAGATAATTTCAGATCAGTGTTTAACATTGATATTGGTTAATAACTGGGAAGCATAGGGAATGATCCTTCTCTTCATTGGACAGCATTACTACATGTGTCTGGAGAGTGGCCTGATTGAGTGAGCCTCTTCTTGAGCCTGAACTCTTCTTGAGTGCTTTTACCATATGGAGGAGGTCTATTTGCGTCCGGTCATATAGCGAGGTATAGTAACAGCGGCATTGTCTGTGGGAGTCGCCAAGATTTTACCATATTGCTGTATCTTGCTAACAACATTTTTTTCTCCTGCATTCCCTTAGGGCCCTAGCTAGAAGATTTCCACATTCCCCATATCCATAGAATGCAAGTAAGTTTGAATGGTAATTGGATGTTGGAGGACATCAGTGGGCTTAGTTTAAAATGGAGCAAAGTGAGTTGTTTGTAGGTTTCGTGAGTGAGGGCCATTTTGTGTTGTGAGCTATCTGCGAGGAGAGAGAATACTTCTTGGGCCCTTATCATACTCCAGTGAATTGTCAGGAGTGTTGTTTGTGTTAAAGTATTGTTCCAGCTGTGTGTGTATATCTGTGGCGAACGTGACCTCGCCACAGGCTCGTGGAGGAACCTGCTTGCCAGCTTTCTGCCGAAAGACTAGGGGCCCTGTAAAAGCCAGGGAGCTTGTTAATCCCTATTAGCACCTTGTAATGATTCTTCCCGCATTGTTCTAAGTGTTCGTCTGGGAGAACGTGGTTCGTATGGCACGAAAATGTGGTGGCGGACATCTTGTTCCCGTGAATGCAGGCAGCGGTGTTTGGTCGCCGAGTGCATGGTACTGAAATCAGACACTCTAACTCCTGAATACCGATGAACTTCCATAATCGCCTGCGTTCGGTTCGGTACATCATTAAAGGGCACTGTTCAGTGGAATTGTTCATCTGGATAAGGGGAACAAGCTCCACTGTATGACTATTGATTACATGCGATAGTGACCGACTGCTAACACTTTTCACTTGGAACTACTTTGGGCAGGAGCCTCGTGTGCGGTCGATCAAATTATGATTTCATGAAAAACCTAAACCCCTGAACTGATATGGGTGATTTTTGGATATGTTGGTCACCCAGATTGGGGCTATCAGGGGATGTGATTTGTGGGGTTTTCATGTATTTTGGGGGTACTTTTGGTGTGTCTGTAAAATGTGTGTTTTCTGTGCCTGGAGATAATTGAGTTTGTACAGTTCCTGACTCAATTATCTGTCAGGTACAGGGGAGGGATTACCCCGATGTTTGTGTAAGAAACCCCTTGTATGGGGTTTGCATAAAACAGATTACTTCCCAGTATTAAGCCTTTGCTCATGTGTGTGAGGGGAGGTGATACTGGCAATAATTACTGTGACACTCTCTTGGAGGAGAGGTCTTCACACTGGAAGCTGGGTCCAGGTGTTGGTCCAGAGTGGGAAGGGACGGCGAGACCCCAGCCAAGCTGTGGCGGCTAAGAGGGGCTACAGTGCTTATGGTGTCCGGTGTGGTGCTTATGGAAGCGTGATTGGTGGAGGTACCCAGTCGGGGTACCAGGCGGTCCGCACAATATCTGCCTGAATGATCGGGTCTTCGATTAGTGAGTCATTTAATCTCCAATTACATGTCCCCATATAAGTAGTGGGAGAGTTGATTGAAATTGTTACTGGGGCATGGTCTGACCATGACGTGAGGCCTAGTGTTTAGGTTGTCCAATTGTCTATGAGGTGAGAAAAGGATATCCATCCCTGAGTAAAAGTTGTGTGGGGCTGAATAGAATATGTAATCGCTACTGGTTGGATGCAATATACGCCAGCAGTCCACTAGTTGGAAATCACAAAGGAGAGTTCTCACCCTGTGGATGAGAAGACCAGGTAGATGTGATACACCAGAGGAGGTGTCAGCCTTTCGGGCAAGAGATACATTCAGATCTCCACCTGCCACTATTGTGCCTTTGCTGAAAGACTTTAGCATATGATGTGTCTTTGCCAGAAAGGGGCCTTTCCTCTATTTGGCAGATAGAGGTTAGTAAATGTATAGGGGGTCTCGAGATATTTGGTCTCAAGGTACCTTCCCTCTGGGTCAGCCAGTTAATTCACTAACTGAAAGAGGGTGACTGAAGAAAATAAGATTGCATCTCCCTTAGTTTTAGCCTCTTGGTTATAAGCAAAATGTCTGGTCAAGCAGAAAACGTGAGTGTTTCCTGATAAAATGCCACGGGTGAGTGCAGGGTTCTCAGTTCATGCAACACTCTTGTTTGTTTGTTAGGAGAGTTGAAACTCCGTACATTAATTGTATAGATTGTGAGAGGGATCATGTTGGTAATCAGGTAGCAGGGCAAGACTAGTAGATACAAGGGTAGATGTTCTAACTGGAACAATCTAAAAGATAAAAGTACAAAACATAGTATAGACTGTATAAGAGAAAATATCAGCCCCTATGTAGAGTAACACTCCCAGGCTCTATATAATCAGCTCTATATAGGTTAGAAGCGGTATTTACAGAGAGCAGCAATATACAGGGAGCACTGACTGTCCCGGGATATTATACACAAACAGACCTGTATTATACAGAGTGCAGCACTATACAGGGAACACTGACTGCCCCAGGATATTATACACACAGCCCTGTATTATACAGAGAGCACTGACTGTCCAGGTATATTATACACAGACCTGTATTATTCAGAGAGCAGCACTATACAGGGAGCACTAACTGTCTTGGGATATTATACACAAACAGACCTGTATTATACAGTCAGTGCTCCCTGTATATTGCTGCTCTCTGTATAATATCCTGGGAAAGCAAGTGCTCCCTTTATAGTGCTGCTCTCTGTATAATACAGCACTGTGTGTATAATATGCTGGGAAAGTCAGTGCTCCCTGTATAGTG